AACTTCATTAGCCCAGTCAGAAGCCAGAGGGATGTGGTACTCCTTAAGGCCCAGAAGCAGTAACTATGTCCTGCCTGTGGTTTAGGAAGTAGGATCAGAGGGGTGGGGATTCTCACCTCATTTTCATAGGAGCTGCCAATCACATAGAAATAGAGATCAATACTGCTTTTGTAGACTACTGTGAGGCCTTCCAAGAGGGCGATTTCACCTGGGGGGGTAAAGATGGAAACAGTAGGTAGCCTGAGACAAGAAAGTGGGACAGAAGGAATTACCATGAAGTCCTGGTATCCAATTGTTTTGGGCTGAGATAATGCAGGTCGAATGACCCCCAAAGTTGATCTGCTTTTTATTTATAGATGGTAGCAGAAGGGAAGTATAAATTTGGGGAAGTCTACCAGTAAATGTATCTTCTCCTCTAACCCCTCCCCCACGACTCTCATTTCCCTCCTTGTATAAGAGACAGGATACTAGTCGATCCTTCGGAGGTGAAAATGCAGAGCGGTCACCTTTACAGACTTCCATTTACCTGCCCTAATGGATGCGGTACAATAAGCAGAGCTGCAGTTAAATTTGTCAAGTGAGGCTCATAAATCCAGAGACTAGACAGGTAGCTAACAGCCAACCTTCCAGCACGGTATTCCCGCGTGAGGTACACTCACCTCCCCATTACATTTCTGAAGAGTTTATTATATGAGGGGAGGAGGAAAAAAGAGAAAAAGGAGGCAGAGTCATTTTATCCTTTCTCCGCAGTCCTGCTGCCACCCTCTTCCCACCATGGTTCCCCCAACACAGGGAGTAGTGAAAAGGAGAATGACCTACTGTCAGTCCGATGAGTCTTGTTGAAAATGTTCTTCTCAAAGGCCTTCTGCTCCTTGACACTGGGGTAGGTGTCGTCATAGTACTGGCCAGAGGGAAAGGAGAAGGGTTGGGTCATTAGAGCTGAGCCCACAATGATTAGTGACTGTGTTTTGCCCTGGATCTTGGATTTCTCTCTTTTAAGGCATGGGGTAAGGGAGAAATACTGACATAAAAAAGGAAGAACTGCTCTAGCCAGTGTTGCTCAGTGGATAGAGCTTGTGGACTGAAGGGTCCCAGCTCGATCCCCAGCGGGGGTGTGTAGGAGGCAGCTGATCAATGATTCTCTCTCATCATTGATGTTTCTATCTCTTTCTCCCTCTCCCTTCCTCTCTGAAAGCAATAAAAATATATATTAAAAAAAGAAGAAGGAAGAACTACAGAGGCAGGGAATGGGCAGCAAGTAATCAGATACAAAAATAATTTTTTAAGGACCCTGCTCTAAACAACCTCACCTTACATTTCTAAGACTGTAAGGGCAGAGGCCTACCAGTCCTATGATGAGGTTCTGCCCCTCTCTGTTTTCTAGGAGAGCAATCCTGAGGCCACTCTCTTCAAGTGCTTCCCAGAAGCTACCCCAGGTCAGGGAGCAGTGCTAGAGAACACAAACAGCCCTAAAGGCACAGAACACTTCTTGCAGACCCTCATTCACTGTATGAAGTTGAGGAATAGGGAAAGGCTACAAAAATCTCCTCTAAAGAAACGCAACCCCTACCCTATGTGCTCTCATATCTTAGCTTTTGTGTCTGCAAACTGAAAGAAGCAGGAGGCAATCTAGCACATTGTTGAGCCCACTCCCAAGCTCTCCCTAGCAAGGAGGCGGAGATGCGGGCTGCTAAATCGCTCTGCTCTTTAGGGGCTAATCCGTCGCAGTCAGCTGAAGACCTATGACAGGTCTGGCATTTAGTAACTGGATAACTGTTTCAAAAGGTGTCCTGCATAGTTACATCCAATTACAGGGAGGAACAGCTGGTGAATTCTAAACTAATCTCTACCTGCTGATTGATTTATGCTATGCTTGCCCGGAGTTAATACACCAGGGACAGAAAAAATGTCTACAGGAAGGGGGAGAACATAGAGGAGAGCTGAGGGGTGTCCTTTCTCTTCTTTTTTAACAGATCCAAAGTTAGAAATGTCACAATGGGAAAGCCAGGAGGCAACAAGCTTGGTGGTAACTGCAGGCCTAGGGCTGGAACTCTAGAACTACAAGAAATTTCCCTGGAAAAATCCAGGCAGATGAAAAGTAGAAGGGAAAGGGACTGGAGTGATGGGCATGGGCAGGCTACTTCTCACGTCTAGACACTGCTTTGTTCAGAAACCAAGGTTGCAAAGTTCTTCGCCGCTCAGATGCTGATAACGACGGAGGTCAAAGTCTGAGGCTAGCAAGCAGAGAAACAGGGCAACTAAGGGACAGAAGCAGTTTAGGTTTTATCTGGAGTAGACATGGAAAAGATGGAAGAATTTTAAAAATTACAGTATCAAGGAATATCAGCTAATAGGGACAGTCCCAAGATTCAAATCTCAGAGTAAGTCTTTGTCTTGCTCCTAAACTATTTTGAAAGGGAATCTTACCTTGGCAAACAGTCGATCTCCATCATTGTCCAGAATCAGGATGGCTTTGACAGTATACAGGGAGGGTTCCTGAAGAGATAGGAACATACCTTCAGTCCTGAAGGCTCCTGACACCACTGGCAAACCAGATACCTTCTCCTAGTCCCACTGGGTACCTCTGTGTGTCTCCTATCCCAACCTGATTAGATACTGACATTTCCCACTGAGCATGACCAAGTGGTGAATGAAGTGAATTGAGAGAGGGGGCATTTTAACAAAGGACTCCAAAGCAGCATCAGATAAAGTTTCTCTGAGCCAGACCTACAGAGTACTTAATCAAGGTAGGTCATGCTGTTATTTCCAAATATTATGCTACACTTGTTTCCAAATTACCCTCCCTCACAGGTGAGTATGGAATGTGACCAGATTAATTAATAGGCACCGCATAAGGCTATTTGAAAACAGGGCTGAATGCCCTGATGTACTTGGAAGTTTCCGCAGTCCCAATGCAGTAGCAATGCAGAGGCATAAAGCAAGCCTTCCCTAAACACCCACACACTGAACAGAGGGAAATGTCAGCGCACAAACGAACGAACGAACACACGAACACACACAGACACAAACACACACACACACACACACACACACACACCCAAGTACGAATGCAGCCCAGTGAGTCATCCATCTCCCAAGACCGCCTCTATGATCCCAATTCTTCTGCTATACTCAGACCACCACCACTTAACTTGCCAGGACAAAAACTAATCTGAATTCTGGGGAAGTTAAGAAGCAATGAGAAGAGGATCCGTTTAAGAAACACTCTGGGGACTGGAGATAAAGAGCAGGAGCGGGTGTTTCTTCACTACCAAGAATCAAACTTGGAGTACACGGGCTCTCATAAAGAAATCACAGCCTCAACCTCAATGGTCACACCAAAACTCAAATAACTGCAAAGCGTGTCATTTTGCAAAAAGCTCCTCTACTCTGGCAACTTCTAGAGAACCTGCTAACCAGGAGAGGAAGAAAGAGAATGGAGGGAAGGCAGTGATATGTGTATAGGTGTTTACAGGCTCACACTCCTTGACTTTCTAATCAATATTCCTTAACCACTGGTATCTGTCCCCTGTGCAGTAAGACAAGGCTGTTGCTTTGCTATCTCCCTTTCCTGGCTTACTTAGGAAAACCACAGTCCTCAAAGGGGCCAAATATACTCCCCAAGCATGTGTTTAACAAAGACCCAAGAGAGAGGAGGAAAGAATTACTGCCAAGGACCCAGAAACTGTGTCTATAAAGGTAAACTGTCCCATGAGGTTCCAGGAGGTTTATGGTTCCGTGCAATGAACCGCCCCTGGCTCAGGGAGTTAAGAATGAGAGGAAAGGCAACCCAGTCTTCTAACAGCAAGGTGAAGAGTATAAGCTTTCCCCAATTCAGTTTTTGAGATAGGAATTTTTGTGTTTTGTTCAAGTGTCCAAAACAAGGCCTGACCCATACTAAACTCTCAATATCTTTTGAATGATTATGAGACTGAAGTTTCAGAATAAAGTAAAAATTTTTTGATGTAGGATACATCTAGCAGATCCTCTTATAATTATACTTCCAGATATAGGTAGTATCTAGTGTGGCCATTTTGGGAGATATTACTATCAACTTATCTCTCCTCTGATAAGTACTCCTTAAAGATGCCCACCCTATATAGATTACTCTGGAAAATGAGGCACGAAGAACTCCTCTGTCAACCAAAGGAACTCTGTATTTAGCAGAGGGAAGACTCTAGATTCTCATTTAATAGGTCAGAAATAAAAGCAGTTTCCTAATTCCCCACAGAAAGATCTTCCCCAAAAGCAGGCTCAGTTCTATAGCAACGTGGATCCTCAATTCACCAAAAGAGACACCATTGGGAATTGGTTTCCTTAAGAGAGGAAAGGAAGTCCACAAGGAGGGAAATTTAGAAGAAATATTTTCCCCTACAATCTTTTCCCTGGAAATGTTTGGCTCTGTTCCTCCATCTGCAGTCACAGCAACCCTAGAGAGCTTCCTAATGGTCTAAACTGGGCATTGAGCTGGCATAGGTAACCAGTTCTTGCAGCCATAGAGTCTGGTATCCCTAGAAAGAATGGGATCCCAAAGAAAAGAAAAACCCTTATGGCCACCTGCCAACTAGGAGAGTAGGACAATGTCCTTTGTGGCCAACCAAGTGTGAGCACCTAAAACAGCCTGCAGAAAAAGAGAAACAGATTTCTGGCTCTTTTCATGAGTTTTTTAGAAGATGCTATCAAGGAAACCCCCAAATAAAAATACTGGATCTTCCTGGGAAAGATAAAAGACAGGCAAAGGAAGTCAAGGAGAAGACCAGATAGGACTTATTTTACAGCTCTGAAAGGGATAAGAAGGCACAAGAGAAGAGGCTGGTCATTTCAAACTTCCAAAGGACTAACAACACGAAATCCGGCTGCGAATTTAGGCAAGAGCTTAAATGCTGCTTTAATTCTCTATTCTGCTACAGCTGGAGCCAGCAGCTTCTCCTTTACTTCTCCTGCCACCTCCTGACTGCAGCTGGTTACACTTCAGCCCGGGGCCTTTACATCTCAGGAGTAGGAGGGCCAGGAATTCCTCTCACACCATAAAACCAGCCAGTTTAAAGGCCCCAAAAGCCATTACTGATAATGTAATTTCACTTTTAAGTTTTAGCAAAGGGCAAGTTTATAAATAACACCCAGCTACTGAGAAATGGGCTTCCTCAACAATGGACTAGGCTTGACCTTGTAACACATTAAATGCTGATTATTGAGAAAGACCCTACAAGCTTAGGACCATGTTCAAGGGATTTAAAAGGTCTATTCTTCCCTCCCACGGCCAAATGGGTAGCTGCTAGAAAGCTTTCGAGACAAAGTTCTGTGATGCACTGACTTTCAGAGAGCCACAGCCTAAGTGTATAACAGAACTTCACCTCAAATGCTAATGGTGCCTGGAAATGATGTGTAGGCAGATTAATTCTTAGTAGGAGGTTGGTGGCTCAGATAGATTTTTATGTTGCTTTTTATTACCAAGAAAAACCGAGACTGGGAAAAAAAAAGAAAAGAAAAACCGAGACTGGATTCCTCAGGAGAGCTAAAACAACACTGAGCAAACAGCCTGGTGCAAAAGAGACTTGGATCTCAATAAGGGGATTCTGAAGCCGGGTTGGGGGGAAAATCAACATCTCCCAGTATTCCCTCTCTCAGCACAAAGGACTAGAGGAGAAGAGTCATTCCTAGTGCTGCCCCCTGTGGGCCTTCCGATGACCTGCAGTTTCCTAAGGATTATAATCATTAGCAAAAGTATTTTAAAAAGGCAGCTCTGTACAAGAGCTATTTGTGTGTCTTGTAAGCCAAACTAGGAGAGATGGACTCTGGAAAAAGCACTACACTGGCCTGGCCAGAGTTGCTCAGTGGTGGAGCTTCGACCCATGAACCAGGAGATCACGGTTCAATTCCCGGTCAGGGCATATGCCTGGATTGCAGGCTTCATCGCCAGTGTGGGGTGTGCAAGAGGCAGCCGATTAATGATTCTTTCTCATCATTGATGTTTCTGTCTCTCTCCCTCTCCCTTCCTCTCTCTGACATCAATTAAACATATAAAAATATATTTATTGTGTTCTTTATTTTTAAACATGCACTAAATTGTGTTCACAATGTATATAGTAAAAGAACACTTTGGGGTAAGGTCATAGATATGCCATCAGAAGATGACTGGGGGAGTGTTTGGAGCAGGCAGACAGGCTATTTGGGGGCTCTAATTACTTTACTTGATTCACTTGGAGGAGGGGGACCAAGAAACCTTGGAGAAGTCAGAGGATGCTATCCACGAGCTGCAAGGGCACAAGAATCTGGCTGAGATTCCTAGAAAGTTCTTCATTCCCCACTTATAAAGAAATCTTTATGGTCATGCCAAAAAGTAGTACTCTGGCTTGGTAGCAGATCTTTATCAACTAGAAACAAGATGCTCTTCCTTCAATCCTATTTATAAAGTAAAGCCAAGACAGTAAACACTAGAAGGAGAAATTCCTAGATACCAATCCCAGCTCTACATGGCCTAAGCAGGTATTTGCTCCCTGACTCTGTGCCGACTTCTTGAAAATGAAAAGCTCCCCTGGGGTTGAGGGCTCCAATCTGCCAGCCACAAGCCTAGGGACTTCAGATGAAAAGAATTAGGTGAATGCTTTGACAGGGAAGAGCAGTTTTCATATACTGCCCAAGGGTTCCTTAGATTCAAGAAGCACAGCTCAGGAAAGAATGCTCTGGAGCTACAGGCACCACAGAACTGGATGACACAAGACCAAATACTGGTTACACAGGACACTGAACATGCCATGGGAAGGAAGAACTGACAGCAGAAGAGCTACCTGGAAAGAATCTTCCTGTCTGAAAACAGATACAAAACGTGAATGCCCAGTTACCAAGAATTCTGACACTACAGGAGAAAATGTCTCTAAACTCCAAAGAAACCCTTGTATTATAGTCTGGACCGGCCATCCATTACGTCAAGTTCTACATTTCTCTAGGACTCAGCTTCCTCACTGGAGAAATGAGAGGCCTGAGATAGATCAGTTCATGTTAATACCTTTTTTGAAGTAGAGCAGACCCCTCTGATAAGCTTATGAAATTTTTGGACCTTGTTACCAGGAAAATACACATCCACAAATTGTTATGATTTGAAGGAGTTCATCGACCTAGGTTTAGAATTAAATGAAATTCTCTCTGAATAAGAAGGTGTGGGGAGGGAATGGAAAAAGAGGGAAATGAGTGATACGTTGATAAATCACTCCTTTTCCTCTGCCTGGCACCAATTAAAGACTTCAATAAATATGTGTATGGCTGCCTGGCCAAACATGGCTCAGTGGTTGAGCATCTACCTATGAACCAGGTCACAGTCCAATTCCCAGTCAGGGTACATGCCCGGGTTTCTGGCTTGATCCCCAGTAGGGGGTGTGCAGGAGGCAGCCGACCAATGATTCTCTCTCATCATTGATGTTTCTATTGCTCTCTCCCTCTCCCTTCCTCTCTGAAATCAATAAAAAATATATAATTTTTAAAAACACGAAAAAAATATG